TGGTCGCTAATGGTGAAACACAGTTTTTTGATACCCCTGCACAAGCTTCGACCTGGCTGGATAAGTTTGACCGTCGCTGTGCTTCAGCTAACACCTGAACACTTGGATTAGCCCCCCCACGAGCCTATTGTTTTGATCCGTGGTACGGATGCTTGACTGTATCTACTGTCACGGGGCCTGGAACTCCCCGTCTCTCTATTGTTGGCGCCACCGCACTGGAAGGAGTCCCTATGGTTTTCTTGTTCCAGGATACCTCCAGTGGTACGGACTGTTGCCACCTTACCCTGAAGGTTCCCCCGCTTAGACGTTATTACTACAGTTTTTGGTTTACTGTTTCAATTACACCTGATTTTTTTTTCTCTTCTCTTTTTTCTGTTTTTGTTTTCTCCCCAACCCATCTTCGACAAGCTTCACTGTGCCCAGCCGCACCTCCGAGCTGTTTACATGCCTGGTCTCGGATATGTATATTTACATATAGTTGCTCCTTATTGTCATGTGATATGTCTTGCCTATGTCTGAGAGCTTAGTAACGCTGGTCTCCTGGAATGTGAGAGGTCTGGGAGATGCTGCAATGTGTCACTCTGTTTTTGACTGTGCCCTTCGTGCTAAGCCATCTATCATCTGTCTGCAGGAGACGCATTTGACTATGGACACTACTGATGCTTTAAGCAGACGTTTTTGTCAGGCAGCCTATCATTCCTGTTACTCCTCTTATTCTAGAGGGGTTTCCATTCTCGTCCATAGGAACCTGCCCTTCTCCTGTACACAGATAAAGGTGGACACAGTGGGACGTTATGTGTTTCTGTACTGTAAAATCCTAGAGCTAACCTGTGTTATTGCATCTGTTTACATTCCACCGCCATTCTCCAGTGCTGTGCTTAAGGACTTAGCTCATTTCTTAGCGGATAAGCTACCAATCCCTGTCCTAGTGATAGGAGACTTTAATGGGGTCCTGAACACTAGCCTGGACAGGTTCCCCTCCCGGTTGGCAACTGACACGCCACTCATAACTCCCCTCAGCAAGCTCTGCATAGAGCTGGGGCTGGTGGATTTGTGGCGTATCTCCCACCCCACAGATTTACAATACACCTGCCACTCTAAATCACATGGCTCCCTTTCGCGGATTGATCTTGCCCTGGGCACCTCGGAAATGTTTTCCTATGTTAAATCGGTTGATATTCACCCGAGGTTCCTCTCGGATCATTCCATGCTCACTGTTCAATTGCGCCTAGGCGGCCGTAGGTCCATGCTCCCTTGGCACTTGCACCCGTTTTGGCTGACGTTATTTAAGGATCACACGGCATTGGAGAGTGACGTTGGGTTTTTCTTGTCTGTGAATATTCCCTCTGCGACTGTTGGTGTGGTTTGGGATACGCTGAAGGCGTACCTTAGGGGTACCTTCCTCAAGAATGTTAGTGCTATTAAGTCCAAGACTAGGCGGGACCTGTCTGTGGCCCGTCAACTGGTTGCTGACAGTGAAAGGACCTATGTGGCAGACCCTACGACTTGTACGGAGACTGCATGGCTAACCGCACAAGATTCCCTGAATGCTCTGTTGGAAACACAGGCCCAGAATAAATTATTTTTTACGAAGCGGGTCTTCTGGGCGGAGGGGGATGCAACAGGTAAACTTTTTGCTCAGGTGGCTAGAGCCCTCTAGTCATATCGGCGCTATCTCTGACTCTTTGGGGGTAACCCATTCGAGCCGGGACATGGTGTCCGAAATTTTCCGTACATTCTATGCATCCCTGTATCAAACTAAGGCTAGATATTCTGACTCTGAGCTGTCTGCCTACAAAACGTTTCCCTCCCATCTCTGTCACCTGCTGACAGAAAGGATCTGGAGGCCCCCCTTACGCTGGAGGAACTGGAGGTGGCGCTGGCTAGCTTCCCCATGGTAAGACTCCTGGTCCAGACGGGTTACCTGTTGAGGTGTATAAAACTTACCCTAAGGCTCTCCTACCCACACTCCTAGAGGTGTATAACGACGCCTTTTCCTCTGGCTCACTGCCGAACACGATGTATGAAGCTACCATAGTGGTGATCCCCAAAAAACATAAAAACCCGTTGCTACCAGAATCATATCGACCTATTTCCCTATTGAATGCCGATATTAAGATTCTGGCCAAAGTGCTTGCACTGAGGCTGTCCCGGAAAATGACATCGGTGATTCACCCGGATCAATCCGGCTTTATGCCCAATAAATCCACCGCCATTAACATCCGTAGAGTGTTTCTGAACATGCAAGTCCCCACTGATAATACGGGCAACAGGGCTTTCGACAGTGTGGAGTGGCGCTATCTGTGGGCGGTGCTGGGGGCCTTTGGCTTTGGTCCCAACTACTGCAGATGGGTGAGCCTGCTGTATCATCACCCCACTGCTATGACTCCCTGTCCTCTGCCTTTACTTTACAGAGGGGCACCAGGCAGGGGTGCCCTTTGTCGCCCTTATTGTTTGCCCTGGCTATTGAGCCCCTGGCTGCCTTGGTCAGACATTCAACGGATGTGATAGGCTTCCAACGGAGCGCGTTAGAGGAGAAGATAGTTCTTTATGCTGATGACACATTGTTGTTCCTGGCGGACACGGTGTCCTCCCTGACCAGTGTTATGTCCCTATTTTCGGAATTTGCTACCTACTCAGGCCTGGTGGTTAACTGGGATAAATCTAACCTTCTCCCGTTGGATCCTCTGTGTGCTCCACTGGATGCTACAATGCCGCACTTACAAGTGCAGTCTACCATTACTTACCTAGGTATCCAGGCATCCGCTTTCCCGAGCGACTATCTTACTCTGAACTTGCACCCCCTTCTGGGGAGATTTAAAACTCAACGCAAATCCTGGGTCGAGTTACCACTGTCGGTGGCCGGTAGAGCGAATTTGATTAAGATGGTCTGGATGCCTCAACTACTGTATGTGCTTCATAACTCCCCTCTTTGGATCCCTAAAAAAATGTTTCGACTTATAGATAGTATATTTAGAGAATTGGTCTGGAAACTAAAACCCTCTAGACTGCGTCTTGATGTTCTACAGCGGCCGAAGACGGCTGGGGGGCTGGCCCTCCCTTGTCCCTGGGTCTTCTTTCTAGCCTCACAGCTGCAACACTTTACAGGCTGGGCGGCTGAGGAGCATCAACCGCCGTCCTACCATATCCTTCTCCATCTATTCCGGGGGTTAAGCCCTTTACTTTATCTAGATAGTGATCTCTACAGTAAAACTTATTCTATCTACCCTACCTTGAAGCTGATGGGACAGGTCTGAGATGCGGCTAAGCTAGCACTAGGCATTGGTGCCCTGACCAGACATACGCCGATATGGCAAAATGGCCGCCTGCCAGAGCTCCTCCCTCCCCAGGGCACCGTTGACTGGACTAGCAAAGGGGTGATAACCATTTCCCACTTGTGTAGTGAGGGCGGGCTGCGGGACTTTAAGGAGCTGACTGAAATGTATGGGATCCCCGCTAGGTGCTACTTCCAATTCATACAGCTTGCTCATGCTTTCAAATCCCAGTTTCGCCAGGGCCCTCCCGTTTTGTCTCCCATTCCGATATTTGATACTGTCCTATTGGCGACCTCCACCAAGAGGATTATCTCCTTTCTCTACTCTCATCTTCTGCTTAAGTCCAATGTCCTCCTCCCTCTGAAGTGCAGGGCGGGGTGGGAGGGTGATGTGGGGCCCATGGAGGATGATGTATGGGAAGATGTTCTTCAGGGGGTTACCCAGGTCTCCCTAACTCCAACCCATAGGCTGACGCAACTTTTTATAGTTCACAGAACGTATCGCACACCTGACTTCTTGTTTCGTATCGGGCTTAGGGCAGATTCCAAATGCCCCAAGTGTGGCTTTCATCGTGGCTCCCTGATCCACCTGCTTTGGAGATGCCCTAAGTTGGTTCGGTACTGGGGTCAGGTTGTAGATACCCTTAACCTTGTCTTTACATCCTCAGTGACAAACTCTCCATTAACGTTTATTTTGGGTATTGTGGAATCAGACGTCCTTACACGACACACTACTATAGCATTTAAACGTGCCTTATTCACCGCAACCAGACTGGTGGTCCGTAGGTGGATCTCCCCCACCTCCCCTACTCTGAACTCCTGGTTAGTAGAACTAGACAGGATGGTCGCTTTTGAGAGAGTTACTTTTCAACAGCGAGCTACTTTGCCCCGTTTCCACTCCATTTGGGACAGTTGACTGATGTATCGAGGGCATGACATCTCTGACTAATCAGCTTACTCATATACTCCATAGGGATACCTGCGACTAGACCCGACCTCTCCTAACTGTAGCCTTTTAACCAGATGAGACAGGTGTTGGCTATACGCACAGTGGGTTTTTCTTTTTATGTTATTTATTTTTATGTACTAGTGTTTCACGATGTGCCTGATATACTGTATACTACATGTACGCACACAATAGTGAACGGCCCATTCTTTATGCTTTATTCTATATGGTTATCTGCATGACATTATACCTACCCCCCCTCATCCCCATCTTTTGTTTTTCAAATCAATGTGTCTGTTGGATTGATCTTTCTTATGGACTCCTTATTTTTGGTCTGTTTTGTTTTTTGTTGATACGTCTGTTTAACGTACCTGTAAATGTGCAAAATCAATAAAAACTATCTGATTTAAAAAAAATTAAGCTGAATGTTTGTTTTTTTATTTCTTTATTGAGATATTAAGTGAAAGTCTCTTCCCCAAAGAGTTGGGGTGAGAAAAATGAGAGATAGCCACCAAGAAAAGCAGGAAAAGGGGCACAATGCATAGAGAACAATTGTTTCCTATACAAAAATGTGCTTTCTTGGCCCCAATGAGAGAAAAACATCCTCGGTGCTCTTTGGTGTTTATTTCCAGCAAGTTATGGATACAGAATATATACTTAAACAGATGGAATGAAAACAGCCTGTCAATGTTAATCATGTGTGGAGAAGATACAACTGTTGATTTATTTTACTTATTTTTTAAATCTATGAGATCTACATTATATATACTGCTAGCTTTAAATCAAACGAAATCCATTTCTATTCATGTAATGAGATATGAAAGCAAAAAAAGAGAAAACTGAGGGCTATTCTTGTTCATTGGGGAATTTGCCAGCAAAAGTTTAGTGATAAATCTCCCATTTTCTCCTGAAATATTTTATCAAATAGTTCACTTTGTGCCACAGTCATTATGTTTTTCCAGTCTCCAACTTGGCCTGCAGAGAAAGTAAATGAAATAGTTTATATACTATACTTCACAATCCTTATGGTTTTGAAGTGAGTCAAAGGTTATGAATTGATAAGTTGTGATTAAGTGATGTCCACGAGATGAGAGATAGCCACTATTTGTGTCTGGCCTCAATTCATGCAGTTACTGAAAAACCTTGTTTAAAAAAAAAAATAGAAAATTGATTCCCTAACTATTTCTGGTCACCGGTAGCCAAGGCAGCTTAATGCCTTCCAGATACATCTATGAAGATTGATATCACACTTATTCCTCCTTAAGGTGATCAAACACCTTGCGATTATTGTCAAAAAATGAACGAGATCGGTGTTTCGTACAATAATCGGCAAGTTGATGGGAAGGATCAGAGGTCTGTGCATGATGGGGTATTCAGGCGGAAAGAAAATTGAACGATAATTGTAAGGTGTATGGCCACCTTTAGCTTCAAAGGAAACAGTATTTCATAAAACTCTGAATCCCCTAATGCCTTTGGCACATTTTGTCCATAATGTTTGCTACTACTGATCCAGCAGAGTTTTGTTACAATGTTAGTAAATATAACTGGCTTAAGCAGCAGAAATCTATTTTCTCAGGAACTATGGCTTATTATACAGGTGTATTCCTCTACTACTGCTCCTACAGGTCTCAACTCAATTATTCTAAAATATTACTGGTGAGGAAAGGACTTCTCTTCAGCTTACCTCAAGTAAAATATATAAAATATTAAGTGGCAAAACAACTACTCTGAGTAGAATTCAACATAGAGAGACAGAAAGAGGCATTTGTACAGCTTTTTGTTTGTTTTTGGATACAGTGACAAAGAGTTAGAACCTCCGTAGTCCCACTGGGAGACGTTTCCATCTTTTCTGTGCTGGTGGAAAAATTCACCAAGAGTGGAAGTGAGCAGAGATCTCCATCAGAGACACATAGCGCAATATAAATACTGTGTTTTAGCAGATTAGAGGAAGACTAGAACCTCCATCTGCTTTTAGTTCTGTCTGTACCCCACTGGAGATCTCAGTATATCAAGTACAGTAAGTAACAATGGGAAAGGAAGTGATGGTAAATCTCCTTAATTAGACCTTAGGTTGCAAAAAAAACACATCTAACAGGGTTATTCACAAAAGGGTGAAGAGTTTGGAGAAGGCGGGAGAAGTGAACAATCTATGACAACATAACTGAACTGGAAAGTGAGCTGAATTGAAGAATTTTTCCAAATCAGCTATGTTGTCCTAGATTATTCACTTCTCCTGCCTTCTCCAAACTCTTTACCCTTTTGTGAATAACCCTGTAAATCTAAAGGTGTCTTTTCTATATTGCTCCTAATTTGTGTAGAAATCGTATTTGTCTATTCATCTTTGAAGACCCATTCTCCAGTCCAGAGAGGGAGAGTTAATTTGGGCTTAGGGAAACTGACCTTCTTCATCATATAAAGATGCATTGTTGAATGCCTGGCCTTGTAGAAATACAGTGACATCAATTACGTTCCCCTAGGTACACTACAGATATATTCTTTGATGGAGATCGAATTTAATATTTTCCAATAGAGAACTGAATATCGAATAGAGCGGGATATATACTGTACATATATTTTGTTAACATATATCTAAATACTGTATATACTGTACATACAATATGCTAAATGTTGAAGCCTTCACAGTAAATTTCCACTAACATATAACATATAACTAAAATGTTTTACCTTTACGCATAAAAGACCCAGCTTTGAAGTTAAAATGCTCTCCTGGCAAGTTTTCTCTATTTGCAAGAGGATCCGTTTTCATCTCTTTAAAGGTTGCTCTTTTGACCACAATATCCATTGCCTCATCATCTAATTCTACCCCTAAAAATGTACAAATTTGCTTCACAGCAGAGCGAAGGTCCTGCAAACATGAAAAACCCAATTTTAGTAGAAAATGATGATAATATTATTCTTCATTACCTGAAATTTAAAATAGTTTTGGCAGCTTTAATGAAGGCTTCAGAGCTAGTTGTTATCTCTTTCGAAGGCAAATGTGTTTTAGAAACATCTTATTGCCATTTAAAGAAAATCATTTTGAGACAGGAAGTATTCTGGTTATTATTAATTGGCAAACATTATCACTTTCATAACTTTTAATGTGGCAACATGGCTGTGCTCACCATGATCAAAATAAGCAGGAGCCTCCACATGAACCTTATACATTTCTGATATTATGTGCACATTTCTCCTAGTAACCACTGCCCTCAGATCACTTTAGGGTCCTCAAAAGCTTCCACATCTCTGCAGTCCTGCATGGCCCTATAGCCATAGTTGCTAACATTCCTGAAAATAAGTGGAGTACGCTTTCCAGCCTCAGAGAAAATGGTTGTGTACTTTGCATACTGCAGCAACCTGTGTCCTCACCCCTGTCTGGTGAGACATTATGCAGAACAATGGAAGGTGTGTAACAATTTGCAAAAATTCAGCATACAGAGAGACACGATGCTTATACCTATCCCACTGCTGGGCACAAATAAGAAGCAGGACCTGGCCAACCCAGAGGCAGAGGAAGTTTCTGCCTAAGGTGCTGCTCTTCTCTTTGACCTCAGACCCAAGACATATCCCACCGACAGAGTGAAGGTTCTCACGGCAATCTCATATCTTAGAGGGGAACCCCGAGCTTGGGCCACTACATATGTAGAAAAGGAGGACCCCATTCTCAACTCATACCTTCAGTTCCTAGAGGCTATGAACTTACTATATGAGGATCCCAGCAAACAGATCACAGCAGAACTGGCTATGCGGGGACTGAAACAGGGTAGGAGGCCCGTGGAAGATTATATTGTAGAGTTCAAGAGGTGGGCCAGAGAGGCCGAATGGAATGATCTGAGTCTGAGAAACCAATTCAGGCTTGGTCTCTCTGATTCCCTCAAGGACGAACTAGCTCGGGCAGATCTTCCTTCCACCCTAGAAGCATTGATGGGACGTTCCATTACTATAGATAGACGACTCCGCGAACGCAGACTGGAGAGAGTGACGGGTATTTCATCTACTCCCTGTCGGCCAACTCAAGCTACAGAGGAAGAACCGATGGAGATCGGGACCATTCGGGGCCCCCTAAACCAGACAGAGAAGGACCGAAGAAGGACCATGAAGCTGTGTCTGTACTGGGCATTACCGGACCACACAGTAGACGACTGTCCATCCATCAGGAAGAAGGCGGGAGGTAAGCCCAAACTACCTTTCGTTCCTATACCCTCTCCGCCTGTTCCACAAGGCTATCTATATCTCTCCCTTATATTGCAGTGGGAACATCAAAGGGTCCCCGTTGAAGCGATGGTAGACACCGAACTTCATCGATGAGCGCCTAGTTCAGCAAAATAAAATTCCCTCTTGTAAAAAGACAAACCCTGTGTCTGTCAGTTTTGTTGACGGTTCCACCTTAACTTCGGGTCCAATTACCCATCAAACACAACCTCTTCTAGTAAGTGGACCCCGAAATCACACAGAGGTTCTTTCATTTGATGTTATCTCCTCGGCAACCTTTCCCGTAATTCTGGGTCTTCCCTGGTTGAGAACTCATAAACCTTCCATATGCTGGACACAGGACAGATTCCTGTTAGACTCTGACTATTGCAAACATACCTGTTATCCATTTACTCCAATTACATCTCTCTTACAGCTGTCCTGCCAGTCACTTCCAAGGCCGTACGAGGAATTCTCTGATGTATTCAGCGAGACAATGGCGGAGACGCTCCCTCCACATCGGTCATACGACTGTCCCATTGACCTGCTCCAGGGGAGTATCCTACCTAAAGGGAGGGTATACCCCCTATCACAACCCGAACTGGAGCACCTCAAGCAATACTTAAACGAAAACCTCAGGAAAGGTTTTATCAGACCTTCGACTTCGCCCTTAGGAGCAGGAATGTTCTTCGTACGCAATAAAGACAAGAGCCTCCGACCCATCATCGATTACCGCTCACTAAATAACATCACCCTCAAAAATCGCTACCCGCTCCCTCTGATCCCCGAGCTCCTCGAACGTCTACAAACCGCTAAGATTTTCACCAAATTAGACCTACGGGGAGCATACAACCTCATACGCATAAGAGAGGGAGATGAGTGGAAGACCGCTTTTAGGACCAGGTATGGTCTCTTCAAATACGCAGTGATGCCATTCGGATTGTGCAATGCACCCGCCACGTTTCAGTGTTTCATCAACGACATCTTCAGGGATCTGCTAGACGTGTGTGTGGTGATATATCTAGACGATATACTTATCTACTCTGAGAACATCCAGGACCATTGGAGACACGTCAGATGGATCTTGACAAGACTGAGGGCACACCGCCTATATGCTAAGGCGGAGAAGTGCGTGTTTGAGACTGATACCATCCCTTTCCTCAGATATGTTATATCTCCTCAGGGAATACACATGGACCAGTCAAAGATAGAATGCATAAGGAACTGGCCGGTGCCCCAAAACCGAAAAGCACTTCAGCGGTTTCTGGGCTTTGCTAATTTCTACAGGAAATTTATATGTAACTTTTCCGCAGTAGTGAGACCCCTGACTGCCCTAACCAGTTCCAAGAAGAAGTTCGTCTGGGAGGCAGAAGCTCAAGACGCGTTTGAACACTTAAAGAAACGCTTCGCTACGGCACCTATCCTCAAGATTCCTGATCCACAGTATCAGTACATACTCGAGGTTGATGCTTCTCACACCGCAATAGGAGCGATTCTCTCGCAGAGAGCCTCACTGCTTAAACCATTGCATCCTGTGGCCTTCTTTTCCAGCACGCTGAACCCGGCTGAGAAGAATTACCCCATAGGAGAGAAGGAGTTGCTCGCTATAAAGGGGGCACTGGAGAACTGGCGTCACCTTCTTGAGGGCACCGAACTACCTGTCGTAATCTACACTGACCATAGAAATCTGCAATATCTTAGGATCAGTAAGTCTCTTTCCGCTCGGCAAGTGCGATGGAGTTTCTTCTTTGAAAGGTTTAACTTCCTTATCACATACCGTCCGGGCTCTAAGAATGGCAAGGCAGATTCCCTCTCTAGGATGGAAGACTCGGAACACACAGAGGACATCCCTACCACCATTATCCCGCCTGAGAGACTCCTCCTTGCTTCCCTCAACTTGAGACAGCGATTAAAGAAGGAACTCCTCACTAGCGAGATACCTACTAAGATCCCTCTTAGTAAAGATGCTGAGGGGCTACTGTATAAAGATGCCAAATTATTCATTCCTCCTGCTCTGCACACATCCATAATGAAGCTTATGCACGACGCACCTCTAGCGGGACATCCGGGTGCTTCCAAGACCTTAACTTTAGTGAAGAGATACTTCTGGTGGCCCGGGATGCAACGCACTGTCAAGGAATACGTCGCCTCCTGTGCGACATGTGCCACCGGTAAACATGAGAAGAAGAAGCCCTATGGATTACTGCTCAGTCTACCCATACCTGCCAGGCCATGGGAGACAGTATCTATTGATTTCATCGTGGAGTTACCTCACTCCACCGGGCACAACACCATCATGGTTGTGGTGGAACTTCTCACTAAGATGGCGCACTTCACTGCCCTAACGAGGCTACCATCCGCATCTGAGACGGCCGACGCATTCCTCCGACATATAGTAAGGCTACATGGAGTGCCGGCCAAGATTATCTCCGATAGAGGCGTTCAATTCGTGTCTCGATTCTGGAGAGCTCTATGCCTCAAATTGGGGATAGATCACAGATTGTCAAGCGGGTACCACCCCCAAATGAACGGCCAGACGGAGAGGACAAACCAGTGCCTGGAACAATACCTCCGGTGCTACTCTACCCATCTCCAGGATGACTGGTACGATCTCCTTCCATTGGCAGAATTCAGCTATAACAATTCCACCAGTTCTTCAACCAAACAGTCACCGTTTCACGATAACTACGGGTTTCACCCTGAGTTCCTGCCACCTGCCTCCGTGCCCTCCAACATCCCAGCTGTGGAGGACTACGTCTCGACTCTCCAGAGTACGACCGAGAACCTGCGTCGAAACATGGCGGAGGCTCAGGCAAGTCAGAAGAGGTTCTACGACCTCCGACACAGGTCTCCACCCTAAGGTATGGCTGTCTACAAAGAACCTCAGGTTGAGGGTCCCATCCAGGAAACTGGGCAAACTATATGTGGGGCCGTACCCTGTGGAGGAAATTATTAATGTGAACGCTGTTCGACTCACTCACCCTCAAGAGCTGAGGGTACATCCAGTTTTTCATGTGTCACTACTAAAGCCCTACCGGCCTAACCACTTTCCGGGTAGGAATCCGCCTCCGGCTCCCCCCATCCTGGTACATGGTGAGGAGGAGTATGAGATTGAAGGGGTGCTGGACTCCCGTAGAGTTCGTCGCCGGCTTCAATACCTGATAAGATGGAAAAACTATGGGCCCGAAGAGGACTCCTGGGAGGATGAGGCAGATGTCCATGCGCCTGGGTTGGTGAGGTCGTTCCACCGCCGGTATCCTAACCGTCCCTCTTCTTCTCTGAACCCCGGAGGGGTTCCCCTTGGGGGGGGTCCTGTAAGAGACTTACCCCTGATCGTTCCGGGAGCGCGATACGGGATAGCGCACGCGCACGGCACGTCCCAGCTCCTCCTTCCCGAGCAGAAGCCTCTTAAGCCGCGGCTAGACGAATCTTCGGCGTCCAACTGTTGGTGACAGTACACGCTGAAGATTCACTTCCCTGCATCCGCAGACCGACCGAGGGACTGTGTACCCGAACCCCAGCACCACTAACTTACCATCTCTGTGTAGTGAGGGAAGGACCGACCCTGCGAGACACCTACAGCACTGAACCGCAAGTAAACTGGTTACAGGAGGCACAGCTTGCCTCCCTGCTGCAATTACCACTGCATTTTTCATATTAACCAGTCTGTGAAAGCCTTGCTCATAAGAACTGCCAGTAACTGTGTTGTAAGGGACAAACTTCCTATACTCTGACTAAAGGGGAGTTCGCTTACAAAACATTGATGAAAGTATTGTCTTGCTATAGTGTGGAGAGTGTTGTTTTGCTACATGAAGGAGAAGAGTTGTACTCAGTCATTGATTATATCCAGTAACCTTTTCCCACACCTCAGAAGTACTTGAACTCAGTGGCGTAACAACCGGGGGTGCAGCAGGGGCGCGGGCCCCAAGCGAAAAGTGAAGGGGGGGCGCCATTGAACTGTATTACTCACCTGCTTAATCTATAACCACTTGGCGTTACATTAGGGCATGTTGCAGCAGATAACACTCCTAGCCTATTCTTGGGGTTCCAAACCCTTTAACCAACATCAACGGTTTATATGATGTTACCGGTCTCATACACATCTCTAAGTTGCTGAGAGAGTATACAAGAGACCGCCTACAGACAAAACCGTACTCCTAACACATCTCCACAGTTGTGATCCTAGGCTTGCCTGCAGGGGTATTACAGGTTATACGTTATAATGACAGAGCACACTTCCTGAACTGTGGGGCCGGTGCAGATGAAATTATTTCTGCTGTAATTTTTCTGAATGTATGCTAGATGAAGCGTGGTTGCAGACTCAAAATTGCAGTTGGCTATTATTTTTCAAACCTTCTGCATAACTAATACAGCGTAGTAGGCATCTGGAGGGCAGAGGCTATGAATTGTTGAAGACTTCCCTGTTACAGTGCAGCTGAGTCTGCTGAGTTGAGTCTGCCCAACCACTAATATAGCCTGTTATGGCTGATTTATTCATTTTTTACTTTAAAGCAGAATTAAACTCTTTGAAAAAGATGCTAAAAGGTAGGCATTTTATGACAGAAGACAATCAGTATGTCTCTTCTGTCATGAATGCTTCTGCTTTGCTGCCAGCATTTTTTGTTTTCTGAGCATACACTAAGCCTTACATGCACATTTCAGTGTAAATACCTCACACGATACTGTGCTGCGGTGAAGGAACTCCTATGCACATGTGGGGGAGATACATTATTCTGGCTTGGCCAATCAAGATGGCTAAAGACTCTGAACCCAGAAGAAGAATGGGTTGAGATCAAAGTGCTGGTAATGAGGGGGACAGCGGCCATTGCATCAGTGGAGAAGGGCATTCATAAGGCAAGCATGCCATAATGCTCAGCATACTTACACGTTATGGAAAAATCCTCTGGAGAACCCAGCATCCCGAAGCGTTTTAGTTCCGCTTTAAAAGGGGAACTACTAGAAAGTCTAACAGAGCAGGGGCTATTGCTTCAATTTTTCCATGCCCACCAAAAGACTTTACTAGGGTCCAGCTAACAATTAGTAAAGAATGCAGGAGGCTGCTGTGGTTCCTGTTATTGCAGGGAGGAGGCACCTGTCTTGATGATCACAATATTAATCAAAATCTTTTAGAATTCTGTTTTCTATAAACAAAAAGTGGCAATTCAAGGTCTAGAGGACAGTGGCTGTCATTTCTGGCCACGTTCTTGCTTGGAAAGCAAACACAACCCATCTCAGCTTGTGAAGTAGGGAAGGGGGGGGGCACACTTTGGCATCTTTATCTTTTATTCCAGAGGACCCTGTCATGCAACTAACAAGAAATAAGCCTCTGTAATGGTTTTTCACTGAGTTTCATTATTTGTAGAGAGATGTCTATAACAATCCTAAAAACCCTCCTTCATGTTTACTAGCCTTAGATATTATTTTGATATAATAAAAAACCATATATAAACTATTGCGGCATTATTTTAGTATTAAAGGGTAAGTGCACCTTAAAATACAGATATCCACCGCAACAAGGCCTGTGAATACGCACTACCTTGTCTCACCACTCTGAACTACAACTCAACTAACTCCCCACAATGTAACTTCATTGTTACTTGCTGGAAGCAATGCATGATGGGATATTTAGTCTTGTGAAATCAAGATTGCATCACGTCAAGCAGAAGGGAAAAAGATGCAATCTGAATCCAGGAAGTTGTTGAAAGTAATAGGCAGACGGAAGGCAGCACTCACTACATAAAAGGGATTTTTCAAGTAAGCTTTGATTGCATTTTAAAAAGCAACTATAGAATGTATTCCTATTACTCTGCTAATGTTATAACAGGACAGTATATGTTGTGACTTTAGAACTCCTTAACTGTAAGGCCTATTACTAATACAGCTACAAAGACCTTTAGTATTAAAAGCGAGCTCAGACCTCTTACCCTTATCATGTCTTCATATTTTAAGAAAAGGATATTGTAATCATCCTTATGAGTATGCCATCCTCGTATGTGATCAAACCATTTGCCTGCCAAAACTGTAAAAATAGCAAATCATCATGCATTGTTAGCATAACATACAGGTGAAACTCGAATAATTAGAATATTGTGCAAAAGTAATTGCAGTAAGTTCTGCAAAGGGGCCCAAACCAAGTACTGAGTACATATGCATGCTTATACTTTTCAGAGGTCCGGTATTGTTCTATGTACAATCCTTGTTTTATTGATTGCATGTAATAATCTACTTTTTTGAGGTTGTGGATTTGGGGTTCTTGGGGTTTTCATGAGCTGAAGCCATAATCATCACAATTATGACAAATCAAGGCTTGAACTATCTTGCTTTGCATGTAATGAGTCTATCTCATATATTAGTTTCACCTTTTAAGTTGCATTAGTGAAATAAATGAACTTTGCACGATATTCTAATTATTCAAGTTTCACCTGTATGTACACAACATCAGCACTTAAGAAGAAGCATTCATAATGCCCCCTATATCATTTCTCTGGCTAAACATGAGCTATCTTCTGGAAAAAGGCTGTTGTCCTAACATATCCTAACATATGTTGTCACATATTGTTGGAAATGACCTAGCGGGTAAAGTGAATGCAGTCACGCAGCATTAGCGTATAGTGCTACATTGTAGAAACCATGCACCTTCCATGGGTAAGTAAATTCAATTTTTTTAATTCAATTTTTTTTTTAATATTGGTACATTTTTTAATTAAGTTCTATTTTTTTGCTGATGCCTTTGTAAAAAAAAAAGTGGTATAAAAGAAAAAGGATGTTTCCACAGTGGGGTGTGCAAATACCCAAAGAAGCCCTGGTTGGGCGAAACATGTTGGGATTTACAGAGCATCCATACAACTTTGGGAAAAAAAAGCAACCGCACATTTCAGAACTGTACGGTACTGTCACCAGACGGTGAATGCACCCGCATATGTTTTTTATTATTTTCTGTTTGTTTTTCCCTATCTTTTAAAATAATGTTTAAAATTATATTGCAATAAATGTTTTTCTAAGATTTTATCTCTGAGGTCCTGGAATTGTTTCTTAAAAACCCCTTTTCTCTTTCCCCTTTTGGTATTTGCACACCCCACTGTGGAAACATCCTTTTTCTTTTATACCACAACCCGGGGTGTGAAACTTCTAGCACCTCTACATTTAATTTGCAACACATGTCAACTAATGTTATCTTCTAAAAAAAAATGTGGCCCATTTGAAATATACACCAAACTAATAGATACAGAAATGTAATAGTAATTCTAACTAATTATTTAACATTTACATAGCAGGTTGTAAAACTTAATAGGTTTTTTTTTTTTGCAATATTTTTTTTTCTTTTTGCTAAAGTTGAGTGTGCCTAACTTTCTATAATTGCACTAATACCTTTCAAGCACAAATGATTGCTGAAGTGCAGCCAGTGCTCACATAGAGAATCCAGGATAAACCTATTCATTGTTCTATTGCTTGAACTCTATGGACATGTTTCTTTTGTTAACATGTATTTTTTTATGTGTATGGGGGGGCAGTGTATTAGGCTCCTTTTACACCTATAAGTTTAGGTGCAATCCGAGATTTCTGCATCAGGAACTTGCGTTTTGCTGCAGCAGGAATCTCTAATCTGGCTTTTTACAAGCGGCAGCAGTCACCCATTCAAGTTAATGACCAGGTGACAGCAGCTGCATGTAAACGCCTGCACACCGCATGTAATGGTATGCGATATGATTACATTTAGTTAGGAATCAATCACTCTCCCTGGACACATCGATTGTGCAGCCAGGGATTGTTTTGTAACCACATGTAATCATATCACATACCTCACATGCGGTGTGCAGGCGTTTACATGCAACTACTGTCACCTGATCATTAACTTAAATGGGTGACAGCTGCCACTTGTAAATGCCAGATTTGGGATTAATGCTGCAGGAAAACGCAAGTTCCTGATGCAGGAATTCCTAATCGCACCTAAACTTACAGATATGAATGGGATCTTATTGTGTGTGTATTAGTGTCCGTAGTACCATACCGGATGTATATTTTATTTGGAAGTATGAAATTTGGCAAGCGGTCCCCATGGGAGAAAAAAAAGTTGTTGAGGGGCCCCCGAATGTTTTGAGTTTGAGACCCCTGATCTCCCTGATCTACCTGATAAACCCACATACATCACGGCATGGGAAAAATAGTTAGGGGATCTCATTTCCTGAGCAGCAGATTAACAGAATGATACAACTTACCCATAAAGCATTAGGGGTCTATTCACCAAGCTGCCAAGGGCAGCCGAGTGAATGACCGATCTGAAGTGAAGTGAGCCGAACACTGTTCGTCTATTCACTTCAGGCTGGTACGGCTGATTTCAGCCGTACATCGGCTTGCTTCAAGTGGCTTCGGGTCGGCCGAACATGCTCAGCATGTTCGGCAGCGGCTTTCAGCACGGCTCAGCCTATTGTGAATAGCCCGTACAGCACCCCTTCAGTTCTACTGAACCGAAGGGGTCCTGGGGCCGAAGCTAGCCTCAGGAAGCTACGGCCAGATCCTTCGGCAGCTTCGTGAATAGACCCCTTAGCGTCTAGTAAAATTCAAGAAACAGGATTCAAGTTATTATCTTGCTGGTATAGATTCCCAAACTGTTGCATAAATTCTACCCACAGTGCTCGGCCATTTGTCGGAAATGTTCAGGAGGTTACCATGCAGCACATTTTTTTGGAGCTGTACAAAATGACATTGTTTCTGGCCTGGCTTTGCAGGGTGGGAGGGTGGCTTGAGTAATTTGTGTAATGGTTATTGATGTTTGTTTGATAATGCCTCTATTTACATAGCAATTACTCTGTTTAGTTATAAGTATCTCATTTCTGGGATGATCTGTTCTCTTTTGCACATGCTACATTCCTATAGTTGTTGTTTTTTGTATTTGTCTTTTATATCTTGCTTGTGTTTTTTTAGATTTTATACACAGTGACAATAAAAAAATATTAAAAGGGAATTGTTTTCACAGGCTTTTGTCTGATACAAATAACCGAGGGTTTACTGGAAGCAAACAAAGGCAATAGGGTATATACAGTACATATAAAAGCGTTTGCTTTAATAAATCTGCAATACCATGAACATATAGGACATACAGCATAGTTACCTTCTCCATCCAAATATTTCTCAAAAAAGTGTTTAAAATCTGGCGATTCCTCTGCTAAATTAACAATGGCTTGAAAATGATAACAAGACTTCATAACATCCTTTGGATTCCTCATCACGTAGATAATCTCAAAATAGATAAAGTTCGTGAAGTAATAATACACCAATCTGTCTATTACAAACTGCTAATAAAATTACCTAACAAAATGTTTTATTTTTTCTTTTCAAGATGTAATACACAAACAGCATCCCATATCTTATATGAATACATATTAAAGTAGAGCTCCTGCGTTAATTATATACTGTATTGATGTGTGTATTTATATATATATATATACATATATATGCTATATTGCCAAAAGTATTGGGACGCTGGCCTTTATACGCCCATGAACTTTAATGGCATCCCAGTCTTAGTCTGTAGGTTCAATATTGAGTTGGCCCACCCTTTGCAGCTATAACAGCTTCAACTCTTCTGGGAAGGATGTCCACATGGTTTAGGAGTATGTCTAAGGGAATGTTTGACCATTCTTCAACAAGCGCATTTGTGAGGTCAGGTACGAGAAGGTCTCGCTCGCAGTTTCCGTTCTAATTCATCCCAAAGGTGTTCTATCGGGTTGAGGTTAGGACTCTGTGCAGGCCAGTCAAGTTCCTCCACCCCAAACTCGCTCATCCATGTCTTTATGGACCTTGCTTTGTGCACTGGTGCGCAGTCATGTTTCAACAGGAAGGGGCCATCCCCAAACTGTTCCCACAAAGTTGGGAGCATGAAATTGCCCAAAATGTCTTGGTATGCTGATGCCTTAAGAGTTCCCTTCACTGGAACTAAAAGGGCCAAGCCCAACCCCTGAAAAACAACCCCACACCATAATCCCCCTCCACCAAACTTTACACATGGCACAATGCAGTGAGGCAAGTACCGTTCTCCTGGATTGCCAGACAGAGAAGCGTGATTCGTCACTCCAGAGAACACATTTCCACTTCTCTAGAGTCCAGTGGCGGCGTGCTTTACACCACTGCATCCGACGATTTGCATTGCACTGGGTGATGTAAGGCTTGGATGCAGCTGCTCGGCCATGGAAACCCATTCCATGACGCTCTCTACGCACTGTTGTTGTGCCAATCTGAAGGCCACATGAAGTTTGGAGGCCTGTAGTTATTGACTCTGCAGACAGTTGGCGACTTCTGCGCACTGTGCGCTTCAGCATGTGCTGACCCTGCTCTGTCATTTTACGTGGCCTACCACTTTGTGGCTGAGTTGCTGTTGTTCCCAGTTGCTTCCACTTTGTTATAATACCCCTAACAGGTGACTGTGGAATATTTAGTACCAAGGACATTTCATGGAACACCTGAACCCAATGATTTGGAGGGGTGTCCCAATACTTTTGGCAATATACCTGTAGTGTATATTGTATATACACACACACTCACACACACACAAAATTATAAAATATAGGCACACATTCACAGCAGACAATGTACATAATCACAGGAAACAACCAGGACATTCACTTTCTTTCCCTGTTCTGAATCTGGTAGACAGAAAGGACCATGTGTGACCTCCTTGTTATTTCTTCCATTCAGAAATGCAAATGCATCCGAATGTCCGAATTTGCCAATATTTGCACAAGTTTCAATTCGAAAAGAAACAAATAGCATATGTCTATGTCATACCCTCTGCACTTCTATTCTGTACATAGTGCCTAAAATCATAACCCAGCCACCATATTATTATTATTATTATACAGGATTTATATAGCGCCTACAGTTTGCGCAGCGCTTTGCAATATAAGGAAGACATTACAATCACAATACAATTCAAGACAAGATGGTAAGGAGGGCCCTGCCCTTGAGGGGGCTTACCATCTAAAAGGGAGGGGCACCATACCTTCTGTACTCCTCTGATGCACATACTGGCTACTGTCATACTCTCCACACTCCTCTGCACATATGTTTAACTGTCTTAGCCTTTGAACTCATCCCCTGCACATTTTGTTTTACCTTGCACTCGCGTTTCCTGCATACACTGTCCTCCTCCTAACCTCTGCACACACTGCCCACTCTTATACCCCTGCACTCTCCTCTGCACATACTGCCCACCATCATACCCTCTGCACTTCTCTTCCACACATACTGCCCCCTATTATACCTTAAAGCCATACCTTCCTCACTTTTCCCCTGCACATACTGCCATCTCTTATTCATTCCACTTTCCTCTGCTGCACATACCGCCCACTCATACCCCTTCACTCCTCCTATGAACATACTAATCTCATATTCTAGTGTAGTGATCAGCCCCAAATGTATCTACTTACTTTTGCCTTTTTGTTTTTTAATCCTTGGGGAATGAATGTTTCTGACAAATGGGATACAAACAGACGAGGTGAAGGAAGACTGTTATAATCTACATCTGGATTCAGAATTTGGCACTCAAACCATGGCACTCTTTCATTAGTGTCAATCTTTTCAGTACCATTTCGGTGTCCTTCACTGCATATTAAGCTTAATATTTGCTGAGTCCAGATGGTTCCTTTTAATGTGAAAGAGAAAAAAATTAATTTATTTGTATACATACAATATTATATCAAGAGCTTTAGTACTCCATGTGACGATATTGAGGTTTGAGCATATCAATATTAACTATGAGATTCTCTCTTTCCTCATCTTGAAAGAATGCAGCCTTCAATTTAGTTCAAGTGACCTCAGGCTGCCCTAAGTTTGACAGGCATCTTCAAATTCCAGCAACGATATCTTTCAATCTGGGCCTGTGATCTTTATATTCCATAGTGAAGCACTAAAACCTGATCTAGAGCTTTCCCTGGAACTGGTGTGGATTAGCTTAATAATCTTTTTTATGATAGGGGTGGTAAAATCGCTAACACCATAGCAATTGTCTTGCCAAGCTCAGCTAATCCCCTACAGATCACCTGGTGATTAAGGAAAGAATGTGTGGTATCCCTCATCCCTAAGTCATAAACTGAGTGATAATATTATCCCAATTTTCATAACTCGGAATTGGGGAATGATATGGTAAAATCAATTGCATAAATAGCAGCTTCTCGTCAAGAGAAATCCACACATACTAATCATAGGTGGGTTATAAAGGTCAGAGGCCGGAGAAGCCACATTTATCCTCCTGGGCCAGACATAGATCACACCAATTTCAAGTTTTGTTTCTATTCAAAGTTAATTTCATGACGCACAATAACTCAGGAGTTATCAGACAGTAGTATGTAGAAATATTAAACTATATAGATATTTAAAAATGTTACAGTTTGGGAGAGTGGAGAAGGGCATCGTAAAGGCTTAGCCCTCCTGCTTCCCCTCCTCAGCTCTGCCTTATGGACTGGCTCCGTGACACCCCCTAGATGACTGACAAAAAGATGCAGCTAAGAAGGCTCTTGTTTTAACATCAAGAAGAGGGACTCTCACAACATCAGGAAGCTCGTAACACCAAAGCTTCAAGAAGAGTTCCCCTTTTAACCTTCAGAAAGAAACTTTGTCAGCCTTGCTTGGAGAAAGCCATTCAGATCCATCTTCTGTGCATTTAGCTGGACTCTGTCAGAACTTATAAACCCAGGACTGTTAATTACTCTATTTTTATTCCCTTTCAGTATCATTCAGTTCAAAAAATTATTTCTGTGCCTCTGAAATTTGTTGTGTAAACTTTGGGTTTGCCATTAAAATGGCATTAAGTCATGAGAGGTAGTTAGAATGAAAATTAATTTGTTCCATGACATCAACCATTACTGGTGCATGCCTTAGCATGATAAAAGTTCTATACTAGACAATATTACCCGTTTTAGTGACCATCAGTTAGCATCATATACATTTTAGAATACATTTAGGAGACGCTGAAAAATAGGTGTAAACATTTATCAAAGTACACATGTTATTGATCTTACAAGTCAAAAGAAGGTAACAACATTGGCTAACTTCCACACTGGCAAGGTACTGAAAGGAGAGGGTAGAATAAAAGGCAATTGACAAACCACATTTTTTTCATCTGAATTGGCGGCTGGGAAAGTTTAGAACATGCAAAACTGAGATGCCTACAGAAAGAGAAGGTCCCTTTTCAGAGGTTTGGCTTTCCCCAGGAGGGCTGACCTCTTGTATGAGGTATTATGCCCATATTTATCAACTGTTCCAGGATTTGTATTCAGCTGTCCCTTGAAGGCCATGTCTGGAGCTGTGTATTGAGATCCCAGTGTGAAACTCACTACCTCTGTGCCCATTATGTTGTGACCACTAGTTATTGATATGAAAATCCTGCAGTGGCTAATTTATATGCAAATCCTTTCCTTCCACAGCAATTCAGCACATTCATTAGTCTTTGAATGTGTGTGGCCGAGGTGGTGGGGATAGTGGTGATATCATTGACTAACTATGGCCACGGTGCCAATATTTCTCATTAAAAATGCACTCTAATATTTATTTCACAATAAAGCCTGCCTGATCTGTCCCTCTTCAACTGCCATCTATTAAATCAGCTTATATAGTGTGCATCAATTGTACAATTTTTGTGACTTTTGCCTGTGAAGCTATACACTCCCTCTTAAATTGCCACCTATTAAACCTTCCTACATTGGGCTCATTGAGTCTGCACAATATTTCTGGCTATTACCTCAGAAATAATACACTCAGATTTGTATTCCACAATAAAACCTACCTTATCTCTCTCTCATGAAATGCAGCCTAATAAATCTGTAACTGTTTCTGGCTAATGCTTTTAAAATAATACATTCTCATTTTTATTTGTTGATTAAACCTGCCTTGCATGTCTCTCTTTGTATATGTTGTCTAATAAAGCTGTGTACATATTATGCATAAACTAAATTTTTCTGTGATTTTTTTGCAATTCAGTACTTGATACATACTTTTTATTTCATGGCTACAATAAGAACACTTTCTTCTTTGATCCGCTATACAACTTTGTATATGTTAATTATAATTTTCTGTTCCCTTTCATTGGGTTCCTTTAGTGAGAATTTCAACTCCTTTAAAACGTAGGTGTCCACCATTTCCAATTTGCTATTAATATCCTCCCTCATCATTGTTAGTAGCGCTCAGGGTTTAAAATTGAGGCCAAATTAAAAAAGATGTTTTACATCAGAGAACCTTGTGCAGATAACACCAAGAGAACTTGCTGTTGACATCATCACTGCTGTAAGGGCAGTATCTGAGCTGGCCTGACCTTGCAAGGAACCCAATGTTTAAATTCTGCATAGCGGCAAGTGGGTGCTTAGGCCTAGGACTTTTATGCATCCTACTGCATAGAAATCATTGCATGTGCTAGAAAGGATAGATAGCGTTTGCAAATGTGTATATGTATGCATATTTGTAGCAGTCTGTATGTTTTTTCTCTTGTTTTACCTGTAACCAAGTAGTTTGTTTATGTAGCATTGTTGTATGGTACCTCAATAACACAAAGTGGTTAGGTGATGGCCCTTGCAAGAGCAATGTAAATAGGATTTGCTTTCAGTGAGCTTCTCCTTTTTTGCAACTCCCACATATTTGTCAAGGAGAACTTTTTTTGCAATGAATTATGTGTGACTGATTCCAGATTAATTTTTACAGTTTCTCCTTGTGATTAACATCAAACTCACCTGATTTTGGATAAGTAATCAAGAAAATATCATCATCTCTTATTTTAAAATCCTTCAGTGAGTCAATAAACTCTGGTGGCATCATATCCTTTAAAAAACAGAATCCTTTATACAAGTACAGATTGCTGTCACGTGACACAGGTGTAATTGCTGCCATTGTTAGCAATGCTACCTGTAATGAAAAGTATTATTAAGTGGAGTATGGGAAATTAAATGATAGGGAGTTCTGACAAGCCCCAAAGTAATGGAAAAGTTGTACTAAACAGAGTGCCACGCTTATTTCTCTAAGATTTGTAAGTTGGTAACAAAAACATACACATACATATAGCAGGGTCTGCAATAGACTTCAACTCAGGCCCTGTCATAAATAGCCTGGCATAAACAGTCTAGGAGCATCACACATCTGTGAGTCTGTTTTTTTCTTACCTAAAATGAACTCCCAAAGCCAAAGTGTATACATAATTGATTATTCCTACTGTAATGGAGTTATCTTTATAAGAAGTGGTTACACAAATGTATAAGAAGATACCAGTCAGGTAGACACCAAGCACGTCCAGAGCCGGTGTTAGTGTAAGGCAGCTCAAGTGGCCGCCTGAGGGTGCCAGCGGGAGTGGGCGGAAAAATCCTGGCACAGCTGCAAACATAGTTAGATGTAATGTCGGCTACATACACAAGATACTCAGATAAGTTGAGTAAGAAACTAGTTTAAATGGAACCACACTATAACATAAGGAAGATTACTAAACATGGTGAGCTTCTTGTAAATAGCTGTTCTTACTATGGGCAATGGCATTCACTCCATTCAGCCAGTTTATTAACAATGCTGACAATTGGCAGATATAAAGTGGAGCTGATTTCTATTATGTTCTGTTACTAGAACATAAGTCTAGTAGCAGAATATCCAATTGATCCCAGAATTGGAATAAAATAAATAATCTTAACTATTCAACCTCAAATGAACTGGTAATTTTGGGTGGCAGAGAGCAGCTGAGAAACTGTACAGGGAACAATCTGTTGTGTCCTGGACCTAGATTTTCTTTCTCCCTGTGTAGGTGCAGGGGACCCAAAGCCTCCTGGTGATTGCATATACCCTCCACCGCCCATATCACCACATTTGCCGCCATCAAAGCCATTATGATTATTCCACATCTCACCCACAATCCGGCTTCACACTCCAACAACCAATTTGCATATCTCACAGCCCACCCAAATGGTGGATTTCTTCCACCTAATCCTATCCACATACATTTAATTTTGGATAACTTAACTAAACTTTTTTAGGAATGTTTTTATATTTGCGCACACATTTTAAAATCTAAATGTTTGTCTAGAAAACAGCTTCAACCCCTCAAAAAAGTATACATAGTTTCTTAAAGCACAGGCCCTGTAGAATAAGAAAATGCTATTTGCAATTTTTTATGTTGCACGGTATTTGCACAAATGTTTATCCAGACCAGTATTTTTATGATAAAATACACTAAAACAAAATTTAGTGCACAGAAACAGAATAAGATACCCAATTAATTTTTTGGTAAAATATAAAGGATTGGGTTACGTCGGGTAAATGGATACCAAATATGTCAAGCCTTAAAGTTGCGCGCGCCCATGAAACCGCAAAAAACTACAATACCCCAAATTTCCCATAGGCGATGCTTTAAAAGCTTTTGCTGCTCATTGCAGCACCCACAGCGCATTCAACTGCACTAGAACACGTGGTACCGCAAAGCCCTTCATTCCAGTGAAATGTGAATGCATGCACTATTTTTTGCAATTGCACTGCACTGGAATGCAGAACATTGCGGTACCACGCGTTCCAGTGCAGTCGATCGCACTGCGGGCAGGAGGCGTGCTTGCGGTGCTATTGAAATTAATAGTACTGATAGACCCCCTCCCACCCCAGAACGTGGGGAGGGTAGGATTAAGCGGTCCAGTGTGTTCATGCCATGGGACTGAGATGAAAGCACTGGATAGTGTGAATGGGCCATTGAGGTGCCATAGCTGCTCCTCTTCTGATTGCTCCCCTCGATGTTCCTCTGTCTGCTGCGACTCTACAGATAGAATCAAAAGGCAGAAACTTGAATTGCAGGCACAAGCACACACAACCGTGTTGAGAGTGAGCGCTGATAAAGTCGATCAGACAAATCTGTTTATTGTTTCGTTGCCATCAGGGTCAGCACAAGGCTTCATACGCAGCCACCTGAGGGCACCAGGGGGAGGGGTGTAAAAATGCACCTTTGCCTGTGTAGGTAAAAATCCTTGCATCGGCCCTGGACACGCCCATATTACAAGATTCAGAAGGCTTATAAAACACATTAGATCTCTGAAGAGAAATATGCAAAAGATCCATACCATATTTGATACCTCTGTGCTATGCAGGCTGTCTGTGTAAATTACAGGCTGCTGTGCACAGTGAGAACTATAACATAGAAAACATTATATTTCCCACAATGCAATACTTCCCTTGTGCTCAAGGTTATCTGAGGAAACTGAGCTCACCCCATTCATTATTATTCAAAGTAGAAATGTGTCCTGAATTGACCTGGAGATTTTTTTTTCAGGTAGAAAAACAGAGGCCATAGAGAGAGTGAGAACCCAGAGAAAGACAGCCCAGAAAGAGAGAGACAGCCCAGAAAGAGAGAGAGAGAGCACAGAGAGAGAGGAATGGGAGAGAGAGAGAGAGAGAGAGAGAGAGAGAGAGAGAGAGAGAGAGAGAGAGACAGCCCAGGCAGACAGAGAGACCAGAGAAACAGCCCAGAGAAAGAGACCAGAGAGATAGCCCAGGCAGAGAGACAGCCCATAGAGAGAGATCAGTACAGAGAGAGACAGCCCATAGACAGAGAGAAGTACTAAGAGAAAGTGAGACAGCCCAGATTGAGCCCAGACAGAGAGATAGACAGACAGTCCAGACAGAGAGAGAGCTTGGAGAGGAAGCCCAGAGAGAGAGAGAGAGAGCCAAGAGAGAGAGAGAGCCCAGAGAGAGAAGATGCCCAGAGAGAGAAGATGCCCAGAGAGAGATGGAGCCCAGAGAGGGACCAGATAGGGAGCCCAGAGAGAGAGAGGGCAACCAGAGAGGGACCAGAGAGCCCAGAGAGCAACCAGAGAGGGAGCCCAGAGAGGGAGCTCACAGAGAGAGAGAGCCCAGAAAGAGGAAGAGCCCAGTGAGAGAGAGGGAGCCCAGAGAGAGAGAACAGAGAGGGACCAGATAGGGAGCCCAGAGAGAGAGAGAGAGCAACCAGAGAGGGACTCCAGAGAGAGAGAGACCAGAGAGGGAGCCCAGAGAGGGAGCTCACAGAGAGAGAGAGAGCCCAGAGAGAGAGAGGAAGAGCCCAGAGAGAGACAGCCTAGAAAGACAAACATACAGACAGATCAAAGAAACAGACAAAACAGAATGAAAGAGAGATGAAGATTAGAGATCGATAGTTGGGAACGTTTCCCCCATTATTAGCAAGTGTTGAGGAAATGTTGCTACCTCCGACACACAAGCAGAGCAGACGTGCAGTGATCTTGTTATGCTGACTTACAGGGAGAGTGTTCGGGGTGCTCTGGGGGCCTGGTCTGCTTACAGCTGCTCCAAAGTAGCTTGCTGATCAGTTTCACAGAAACTGAGTACACAGTCGTTCGTGTGAAGGGGGTTGGATCGGCAGAGTGAGCACAGCCTATTTGTTGCTGCCTGAAGTTCTGCGAGAACAGTCAGGTCCCATTCACACCAGTCACTGTGCTACAATGCAGAGCAGCTGGTGCATGTTACTCAGCACAGTACTGCCCCCAGTGACCGATTGATTTTGCTGTGGAGGGAACTTGTAGCCCATAAAGAAGTAAAAAAGCCCACAATGTAAGACATGAAAATGTACACGCATACTGTACATCATCACTGCACCTCTACATTAACACAAGAAATGCTAATCACTTACAAAGGTGGAAATGAGGATGTTTTACCAAAGTCAAGCATGCACTAACGTTGCTAATACATAAAGATATAAAAACTGACCTTCCTATTCACACCAGTCTTTTCACTGCTTGATCCGTAGCTTGTACAAAATTCACCACATCACCACCAAATTGTATATATTATATTAGGAGCTCAGCCAATCAGTTATGACATTTTAAAAGTCCATCCCCTTTCACACAGTTATAGTCCCTGCCTCCCTGTGGATTAACTAATGAGCTTCCAAAATATTCATTAGTAAAAAGTTTGTGAAGAATTAAGAGCAGCCTTCAGAAACGAATCTGAAAATGTAGATGCTTATACTATTTTAAAGGTGAACTACAAACAACATTAGGGATGCACCGATACCAAGTACAGTACTCGGTACAAGTACAAGTTCTGATACTTTTTGAGCTCCAAGACTACACTAGAGAAAAATTCAAAAGTTGGGAGGCAGCTGTCATTTGTAAGGAGCACACGGAGCTCCTGGGATTTGTACATCTCTGTTTGAATGTATGATCTTGTTTTTATAAATATAAATAAAGGGATGCACAGATACCAGTTTTGCGAGTACGAGTACTGATACTTGCCGAGTACTTACAAGTACGAGTACTGATACATTTTTGTTTATTGTCATGTGACAGTTTTTCTAAAACAATATCGACTAATGATTTCAGGACAGTGGTGGAGTGCCAGAGCCAGGTCCCAGCTGCAACCGCTGCAGCCTTGGTAGTTCTCATGGAAATGCCAAGTATCGGCATTGGTACTCGAAAAGTATCGGTGCATCCCTAAACAACATCAAATATAGTTCCATGTTCATTTAAAAAAATTAAATGCATTTTACACAAAACTAACATAAGTTTCTCAATGTGTTGTGAAATTAAAATTGTGGCATTGTTTGCACAGAAGGGTTGACTGATTGTCATCAAGAGGCAGAACTAGAAGCCAACCAGGCACATGTGCTGACAGGGGTCATGCTAACAGGAGGAGCAGAGTGAGTAGAGGGATGACTTATCAGTGTTTTTCTGCTCCTTCTTTGTCCAATCAGTAGGCTGCAGGTGGGAAGGTGCAGAACTGTGTTCATATGAGTGTTCATATATGATAGATAAAAATATAACAATAAACTGGTGGGAACTGGTACCTTCATCCTAAACTAAACCAAAGGTCAAATAATTGTGCTCTATTGCGGGCTGGTTGATGTAAACTCCTTTTATATGTGCTTTGCAACTTTAAACATATATTGACAATTTAATTCTGTGTACTAAA